TCCCGAGGATGGACAGCTGGGTTGTGTCCACCCCTTCGTGGCTGGGAACGTGGCTCTTCGAGACCCAGCTTTCAGCTCTCCCGGGGACGTGGCCAGAAGCGGGGCCGCTGGGGCCCACGGTGATTCTGTCTGTAACTTTCTGAGCAGCCACCACGCTGTTCCATGGAAGCTGCCCCGGCGGACATCCCCGCCGACACCGCACGGCGTCCCCGTGTCCCCACTGCCTCGCTCACACGTGCCACTTTGTGTTTCTTGGAGAGCAGGCGTCCCACGGCGTGTGAGGTGCCCGGGTTTTCCGCCTTAAGGAACCAGAGAGGCTCAGGGGCCTCTCGCTCGGCTCCCAGCATTTTCTGGTCACTGGACACGGTGAAGCCCCCCTGCCCTCATAAGGGAAGCCTCTTGGGTGTTGTTCCTGCCCCTCCTTCCAAGCCCCTGGAGATCCAGGAGAAGAGTGGGCAGGTGGCCAAAGCTCTGAGTCGGGTCTGCGGGGGCTCTCGCCTGTCCCCCGGCCCACGTGAACTTCTTAAGAATTTCTCAGCGTCTCTGCTCGTCCCTCTGGCCTCCGTCTGGGGCACTTTGACCACCGAACCCCCGACAGGCAGGAGAGCTGCCCTGGGGCTCTTCTCCCCTGGAGTTTAGTGAGTGTTTATTTCCTTGCGTCCCTGCCTCTTTGGTGGGTTCCCCACAACATCTCTGCTCTTGTAGTTTGAGTCGATTTAGTTGATAAGAGCAACGGTCTCTCGTGCCGTTCTCCATCCGAATGAGCGTGCCACCTCCAGCCTCTCTCGGGGGTAAATTCTATCACAGAGAAAGAATATGGACATCTGAAAAAAGACAACTATCGAAAACACGGCGTTTGCTACCAAAAAGAGAAAAAAGCAACTGACCCCCCACCCACCCCGGAGACGTGTAGCACAGATGAGGCACAGTCCCTGATGGTCATCGTCGGGCTGGAGTCGTTGGCGACCCCGCCTGACTGACCGCTCTCACCGGCCCAGGACTGATTTCTTTAAGAGGAATTGATTCTTAAAGCGTCCGTGTATGGATAGAGTCCTTAGGCGAGACACGGAATGGGAGGGAGTATCCAGACCAAGAAGTCTTCACCTCATTCATAAGAACACAAGCAACCCAGCGGAGAACGGACGAAATATTTACAGAGACATTTCCCTGGAGAGGACGTGTGAATGGAAAACGCCCCGGGAAGAAGGCCGGACCGCACTGGCCATTTCGGAAATGAAAACGGAAGCAAGATCCCGTCTCGCACCCAGCAGCGCGGCCGTGGTCCGGGAGACGGGCAGGAGCAGGTGCGGGACAGCACGCGGAGACAGGCCCGGCCGCACGCTGCTGGCCGCAGTGTCACGCGGGGCAGCCAACGTGGACGATGATTTCTGTGAATTCTCAAAGAGTCAAACATGCATTTACCGTGAGACTCACGCGTTCCGGCGCGAGGCACCTTCCCAGAAGGAAACACACAACCACAGCAGGGTCTGCGCACGAGCGTCCACTAACCAAAGAGCCCAAGAGCGTGAGTGACGCAACCATCACCTGTCGCCAGCGGGGGAACAGGGCATCCCGTCCCCACACATCAGCAAGCACCGCGGGCCATGGGGAGCGCAGCAGCAGGCCGGCACCGCAGACCCCCGGTTCGGCGAAAGAAGCCGGACGCAGGGAGCACGTAACGTCCTGCTTCCGGAAATCGTCCCCAGGGGACAGCTGCCCAGAACCGGGGGGTCTCTCACCGTCCTGGGCAGGCGGCGGGAAGAGGAGCCAAGCACAGAAGCATCCGGGATCTCACGGGGGTGAGGAGAAGGTCCCCAAACTGAGCGGTGGGGACACTTTGCCCACCTTCGTCCGTATAATGAACATCACTGATTTGTGCACGAAGTTGTTCTGGGATGCCGGCACTGAGTGTGCTGCGACATGGGGCGGCCCGAAGCAGAGGGAACCGGTGACGGCCACGTCGCTGCTGCCTGCCTGGAGGCGCGTCCGACCGCAGCTGCGGAAAGGGGTCCACAGGGCACGGAGTCGGCGCTGAGCTGGTGTTGGGAGAGGCTGCGACAGCTGGGAGGTGTGGGGACACAGCCCGCAGGAAGCTCGGAGTCTTTCCGAGACAAAGAAGACACACGCGGGAGAGAAATGCCTGGGATTCCGCGGACGCGAGACCCTGCAGAAGCGACGTCTCACCCAGCGCTCCCGGGACAGTAGGGGTGGTGGGCACTGACCGGAGGGGACACTAGGGAAGGTTCTGGGCCGATGGCCGTGTCCTTCATCCCATTTGTGTTGTGGGGACAGGGGTGCACGGTTTTGCTGAAACTTCTCAGAGCCGCGCTACGAACGGGTGCCTCTTAGGGGGCATGAATCTGTCCCGGCGCCAGGAGGGGAAAACGCCTCTATGGGCAAGTGAGGAAAGATCCGCACGTAAGTACCTGCTCGCCGGGGTCTTCCCACGCAGGAACGTTCTCCCACAAACAGGTATCGATTATTCCTAAATTAACCCGCGCATCGACGTGAACCCAGGGAAGAGCCCCAACAAGAGTCCTTTTCGCACCCAAGAACTGACCCTCACGCTTGCGCGTGTGCTGGGGGTCAGTGGCGGCTGACATTCCGTCTGGGGCAGAATGACGTCCGTTCGCGTGCCCTTCGGAATAAAACAACGAGAAGACACAAGTCCCCAGTTAAGAGGAGGAAAGAAAACAGAACAACCACGTCGTACTGGAACCAGAGAGCCGAGCGGCGCGGGCGTGACCGTGGAGGAGAAGCCGCGGCAACGCCCTGGGGGGGGCACCCGGAGCAAGCGGATGGGAAGGGTCGCCCCGGACCGAAGGAGGTAGGGACTCAGCCACAGGGACCCCCGAGGCTGGGCACAGGCTGCGGGTGTGACGAAAACCTGGCAGGCGGTTGAAATTCTCTACAAGAAGGAGTGAGAGCCTTAGATTCCGTGCCCGCTCCTGGGGAAACTGGGGGAGGGAGACCATGGGACACGGGGCACGCTGAGTCCCAGAGTGCCATGCTGGAGTCAGGGACACACGCGAGTACACGCGCAAACTCTGAGACCTCAGCTTCTCCCTCACGCCCTCCTGACAACCCCAGGGACCCGTCATGCCTTCCACCCGAGAGCATGAGCCATTCCTGCACAGAAAAGCAGAGCGTCCCGGAGAAGCGAGACACGGATCCTGCTGCTGGGGGCAGGCCATCCCAACAGCCGACAGGGGAAGCCAAGGGTCACAGTGTGGGAACGTGGCCACCCCCGGGGACCCTGGACGGTGTCTTCAGGTGGATATGATGGTATTTCAAACAGAGAAGAGCCATGAGACCACAGTGGCCAGTTGTGCAAAAGGAAAACACGGCGTCCGAGAGGAATCTGACAAACGTAAAGTCCGGGGCCAGAACGAGGACTCGGGAGAGAGGCCGAGTGCCAGGCTTGAGCAGCGATCCCAGGGTACGGGATGGAAAGGCAGAGGTGAATTCTGGAAGGACAGATAAGGCCCTCGGAGGCCCTAGCGGAGGAGGCCCTCGTCTCAAACCAGCAAACAAGACCTGTGGGGAGACGAGAGGCAGAGAGAGAGGACGGTGCGGTCACAAAGACCCCCTTCAGGAACGTTCCCTGCGGAAAGACCTCTGCTTCCAGACCCACACAGGGCGGCCCAGCATCAGCCCAACAGGCCACAGAAGTAAGAGACCCAGAACCCGGGAGCATCCGGTGAAATCGCAGATGGTTTCCCAGGAAGGGGCCTCAAAACTTCCAGAAAGGAGCCACGGTGGGTGGCCAAAGAGGCAAGGGTAAGTGTCTGGGTTCTCAACGGTCCCGCTGAGAGCCGGAAGGACACAGCAGTGTCATCCCTGTTCTGGGGGAAATTTCCTAGCCCAGAAGGGCGTATCCGGCCAAACTGCGGATCGGGTCTGAAGGGAGAACTAAGCGTCACTCTCGGAAAGGCAGATTTCTCATCCTAGAGCCCCCGTTGCTTTCTCGGTCAAGAAAGTGCAGGAGGGGGAGCCCCGGCAAGACAAGGGAGGAAACCGAAGTAGATCGGTGGGATCCAGTCACGGGGACACGCGTCGGAGGACGCGGCGGGAAGCCCCAGGAAGAGGAGGAAGGAGTAGCCCCAGGATCCTCCCCAAGGAAGCAGCCGGCCAGCCCTGGCGTCTGGGGGCTGACTCTGTGGCCCGGCCCGGGAGCCGGTGCCAGGCGGGCGGGCAGCCGGGGACAAGAGAAAACCCTCAGACCATTTATGCAGGAGACCAGCGGATGGGAAGCAGCCCCGTATTTTAAAATCAGCGCTGAGCTCCCAGCAGAAGACACAGCTGGAAAGTGTGAGGCGGCCGCCATCGCCGTTGCTGTGTGTTTGCCGTAGGCGTGACGCTGGTCCCATGTAACTCGGGTCAGAGCAAAGTGGAAGACCAGAAAGACGGAGGGAGGGAGGGAGGGAGCTGAGGGCGCAGTGGGTCTGCCAGCCGTGACACACGTTGTAGGACCACAGGCACCGCGTGGCACATGGATGGACAGACGTTTGAGGAGAACAAAACACAAGTTTCAGGGGTTTGAATTCTAAAAGAGCCCAGAGTCCGGACGTGGGACAGAAGCCAGATCTGGAATACAGGGCTTCACGCCCTGCACCCAACACAGGGATGACGGAAGGCGATCGCAAGCAGTAAACGTGCAAAAACCGTGACACAATGACGAAGTCTGTAATACCTATTTTTAGTATATGGTCAACAGAATTTCCCTGAGAACACAGCACAGACACAAGGAAGTGAACATATACTCAGGTATATAAAGGCTCCCGGCCCAGGAGACCCCACGCCTGAGCACCTGTCCTCTGCACCTGTTCCTCTGACCTGATCCACCCTCAACCCACCAGAACCATGGGCTGCTGTGGCTGTTCTGGGGGCTGCGGCTCTGGCTGTGGGGGCTGCGGCTCTGGCTGTGGGGGCTGCGGCTCCGGCTGTGGGGGCTGTGGCTCCGGCTGCTGTGTCCCCGTCTGCTGCTGCAAGCCCGTGTGCTACTGTGTGCCAGCCTGTTCCTGCTCCAGCTGTGGCTCGTGTGGGGGCTCCAAGGGGGGCTGTGGCTCCTGTGGGGACTCCAAGGGGGGCTGTGGCTTCTGTGGCTCCTGTGGATGCTCCCAGTCCAGCTGCTGCAAGCCCTGCTGCTCCCAGTCCAGCTGCTGTGTCCCCGTCTGCTGCCAGTGCAAGATCTGAGGCTCTAAGGACCTCAGGTAGCTCCTAAAGACATATGCTTCCCCTCAAGCGACCACAGGTCCATCTGGACCCCCTAAACACTTCCTCTCCGCGTGCTGGACAACAGAATCATCTGACTTGGGACTTATCCCCCAGCCTTTGAGGAAAGGGAACGGACTATTCCATACCCATTCCCTAAAAAGGGATCCCACCCTCCAAGCACTTTTGCCGCTCCTACTCACATGCCCCAGTGCCTGCGCCAGACCGCATGGAAATGACCAGAGCAACAGGGTAGCCGGAAACCCCCCCACACCGAGATCGGTCGTGTCAGGCACCAAGTCTTTGCTTTCCGCCCTCAGGAGGAGCGTGTGGCATCTGCATACGAATGTCTCCTGTACCAGGCCTGATTAAGTCAAGTGTAGTAAGATCCTGAGGGAGCTGGGGGCCCCACTAAATAAACTCTACACCCATAAGCCTTGGTCTCCCTGTGACTTTGTCCTTCCCTCCCGTCTCATCAACAAAACGGACCGTGTTTCCCTCGTCTCACCACTTACGGGGGCGTCGCTCCCCTGTTGTCCACCACTGTCGTTCCACTGTGGGCCCAGGGCTCCTGCCACGCACATTTGTTAAATTAATTAATGAGGGGGTCACTACGTGCATGTGTGAATGAGTAAGGAATTAACGAATGGATTGGAAGGTCCCCCAATAACGGGTCCGTGATTAGAGGAGCGAGACGGATACAAAGTGAAGGTCAAGCAAAGCTTTATTTTGCACCAGGCATTAAGAATCTAACCGACCGGCGGGGGCTGCGCCTCTTACAGAGAGAGCGACCCCTCCCTGCCTTACAGACTAGCCTTTAAGGGCAAAGGCCATGCGGTTGGGCCTGGCCACGCACAGGTGGACAACGAGATTGCAACACACAGAGAAAGCTGCACAGTCATGCTAGGTCACACATGGGGGGCCAATTGAACTACAATTTACCCTAGTAGACATTTGAACCTGCCTATCACCTTGGTCAGCATTGGCGCCCAAAAGGTGCCCAAAGGCCGGGGCCCACACTCCTTGGTAGCTAGGGAGACAGTATGCGCCCCCAATGACTGGATACCTCCACCTGGCCTGACTCACCCTTGTATTTGGGCTCTGTTACCTGGGACTGGTTTCCCAGGCTTGCTTTTAAGTAAGTCCCTGGTGGGGGGCAGGGTCAGTTTAAGTTTTACTGCATAAACAACAAAATCACTGTTTACCCCAAGACGGAATCCCTCTGGCTAAATAGGCCCTCACAGGATGAGTGAATGAAGGAGGCCTCTCGTTAGCGTAGAGGGAGATCCCGCTGAGCCGAGGTGGGTTTCAGAGTCTGTTTGTCGGAGCGGTGGACACGGCTCCTGCCGCAAGAGACGATCGTCCTCAGAAGGGATCCAGCGTGCGATCTCCGTGCCCACCCAGGCCCCAGCGCACGAGCCAAGTCCTCAGAGAGGCAAGTGAGGCGAAAGCAACCTGTGTTCCCAACATGTCCTGTAGGATGAAAGAAGCTGAGCGGCACCTGGGACCAGAGACAGTGTGGCTCAGCGCAGAAGCACGAGCACGTTCTCCGTGTCTGGGCTCAGGGTGCCGGATGCCACAGCTTTGGTTCAGCCCAGGGAGGAACACAAGGGGAGCTCCTCAACCGGATACAGGGCATCCACCAGTACCCACCGCTGACACCACACTTCATGGACAAAGCCTGGATGCTTTCCTTCTAGGTCGGGGACAAGAAAAACGTGCCACATTCGCCACGTCTCGTCCACACTCCACTGCAGGTCTACCCAGGGCAGTAAGGCAAGAGAAATAAATAAAAAGCATCCAGGTTGGGAAAGAAAACTGAAACTCTCTCAATTTACAGAACCCATCATCTTGCTTATGAAAAGCCCCTAAGAAATTCACACACACACACACATGAATTCAGCAGGTTGTAGGATACAATGTCAATATACAAAAGCCACTTGTATTTTTATACACTAGCAAGGAGCAATCGTCATTGAAATTAAGAAAATTAAAAAAATAAAAAATAAAAATAAAGAAAATAATCTCATCAAAAAGAACAAAATACTGGGGCACCTGGGTGGCTCAGTGGGTTAAGCCTCTGCCTTCAGCTCAAATCATGATCTCAGGGTCCTAGGATCAAGCCCTACATCGGGCTCTCTGCTCAGCGGGGAGCCTGCTTCCCTCTCTCTCTCTGCCTGCCTCTCTGCCTGCTTGTGATCTCTCTCTCTGTGTCAAATAAATAAATAAAACCTTTAAAAAAAGAAAAAAGAACAAAACACTGAAGAATAAACTTAACCAAAGAAGAAGAAGAAGAAGAAAGCGAGACTTGCATACTGAAAACTGCGAAACATCATTGAGAGACATTGAAGACCAAGATAGGCAGAAAGGCACCCGCGTCCACGCACCAGGAGATGTACCATTGTTGAAACGACAATCTTCCCCAAACGGATTGGTGGCCTGAACACAATCCTACCAAAATCCCAGGTTGCTTTTTGCAGAAACTGACAATCTGAACCTACAACTCATGAAAATTCAAGGAATTTCAGATAATCAAAACAATCCTGGAAAAAAAAAAAAAAGGTGGAGAGGTCACTGCTCCCAATTTTGAGATGTGCTTCAGGGTGGTGCGATGCTGCTCTGAGGACAGACGCATGGACCAGTGCAATGGAACTGAGAGTGCAGAGATGAGGAGTTACATCCCACGGATCGTCCACAAGCATCCCAAAACAACTCCGTGGAGCCTCTTATTAACAGATCCCACTGAGACAACGAGATAGCCACCATCACAGGGAGGACGTTGGATCTTCGCCTCCCATCCTATACAAAAAGCAGCAACAACCGCAAAAAAACCTCTACCTGGATCAAGTACTTAATCATAAAAGTTGAAACTATAAACCACAGGGGCCCCTGCGGGGCTCCGTCACTTAAGCCTCTGCCTTCAGCTCAGGTCATGATCTCTGGGTCCTGGAATCGAGCCCCACGTCAGGGTCCCTGCTCAGTGGGGAGCCTGCTTCTCCCTCTCCCTCCCTCTACTCATGCTTTCTCTCTCTCTCTCTCTCAAATAAATAAATAAAATTTTTAAAAACTATAAACCACAAGACTCTCAGAAGAAAACATGAGCTAGGTCCTTGTGACCTTAGATCAGGCAACCGCTCTGAGATGTGACATCAAAAGCACAAGAAAAAAAAATCAGATAAATTTGACTCCATCAAAATTTAAAATCTTGTGATTCAAAGAACACTGTCAAAAAAATGAAAAGACAGCCTACAGAGGGGAGAAAATATTTGCAAACCACACATTTCTCAACTGGCTTATATTCAGAATACACAAAAACTCTTACTACTCGAAAAAACTATTTTTAAGACAAATAATCCAATTAAAAATTTAGTAAAGGGTTTGAATAGGCATTTTTCCAGGAAGACACACAAATAGATAATAAGCCAATGAAAAATGCTGAACATTATTAGGAAGCAGGGATGTGCCATTCAGAACCCAGGGAGGTCCCGTTTCACACTGCCTTGGACGGCAATGATCAAAAAGTCAGAAATAACGAGTATTGGTGAGGGTGAGGAGAAACTGGAACCCTTGCGCATTGCCAGTGGGAGCCCAAAATGGGGCAGCTACTTTGAAAACTATTTCGGCAGCTCCTCAAATGGTAAACAGTGTTACCACAGGACTCAGAAGTTCCACTGCTAGACATTCCCAAGAGATCTGAAAACTGAAGTCACGCAAAAACTCGTGCAGTAATGTTCATAGCAGCATGGCTCCCAGCTGCCACGAAGCGGAAATGCCCACATGTCTACCAACAGATGCATGGATAAACAAAATGTGGTATATCTCATTGCCCACGATGGAATGTTACTTAGCCCTAAAACGCTACAAAGTTCTGATCCATGCTACAACATAAACAAACTTCAAAGAAACTACACTGAGGGAAAGAAGACAGACACAAAAGGCCACATAGAACCCCATTTATATGAAATGTCCAAAGTAGGTGAATCCACAAAGCCAGAAAGAAGGTCAGTATTCTCGGGGGGCTGGGTGGGAAGGGAGGAATGGATGCTACCTGCTTACATTACGGGGTTTCTTTGGGGGGTGATGAAAATGTCTGGAAGGAGATGGGAGTAATAGTTGTATTACTTTGTGAATCTACTAAAAACCACTGAATTGTATTCATTAAAGGGTTATTTTGTCATATATGAATTATATCTCAATTTTAAAATTCATGTCCTATGACTTTGTTTTGAAATAACCCGTATAGTAAACATACCAAATCACCCTGCGTTTTCCACGGAAGGTGTGTAGTTGTCACTGACTTTAGACTTTCAAGGTAAAAATCGTAAGTAACCGTAAGTAAATTTAAAGGCAGGACTGACATATTTAGAATAAGTTGGTGTTTACTATATTCGAAGGCTGTATTTATCTGGTCCATATACATTACATAGTAAAAGAGTCTTCGATTTTTAGGGGATTTTAAAGTGTCTTACAGAGGGAAACCACTCCAGTCAGGCATGTAGGGAGTTTGGAAGTGGTCACTTTCAACCACACAAGAAAACGCTGACCTGAAAACCAACACCCTGCGACAGACCCACCGGAGAACAGAGGTCACTGGGCACACGGCTGCCACTAGTACCTGGAGGGACAGAGAATCACGACTTAAAGAAGCAGAGACCTCTGTGGGAACCAGTGCCACAGTGCTGACGTGTCTGAGAGTTATGAACTCCAGGTGGACACAACCAAGATTCCCTCATGCTTTTGGCCAGAGAGGATGGAAGTAGACTTTTTGAAACATGCCAGAGAACTCTGTTCTCAGTAAGGTCTGCCCTCAGGATAAATCATTTTACCAAGCCTAACCTTGCTGGGGTTTTCTCAGAGCCCAAGGGACCTGGAGGGAGGGAAATGCCCAGCTCCAGCCCCCAGCCCTCACAACCAGCTGGTTGGGAGGAGGAGAAACTAGGGTACATGTGTAAAGGTCACGGGCCTGCTCACTAAGAGACTGAGAACACTTCCCCTCCCCCCACACCTTATTAACACACCCCTACGGGCCTGTTTACCACAACTCCACCCACCTGGTACGTCATGTCTGGCTTTCAACAAAGAGTTACAAGGCAGACTAGAAGGCAAACAGCGTAGCTAGAAGACGCAGAGCAAGCGCCCGAGTTGGACCCAGACATGGCCGGGATTTTGAAATGAACAGACAAGGAGGCCGGCAGTGCTCTAAGGAGACAGGCAAGAGCAAACGGGCAAATGTGAGCTGCAAGAAGGAAATCCCAAGAAAGAATCAGAGAAAAGCTGAGATCAAGTACCCCGAGACAGAAATGAAAATCCTTGATGGGCTCTTCAGTAGACCAGACATAATGAGGAAAGAATCCATGAACTCAGAGGCAGGTCAGTAGAAACCTCCCAAATTGGGGGCCCCTGTGAAGCGTCTGCCTTCGGCTCAGGTCATGATCCGGGTCCTGGGATCGAGCCTCCTGTCAGGTTCCCTGCTCAGCGGGGAGCCTGCTTCTCCCTCACTCTCCCTCTGCCCCCCTACCCTGCTCATGTGCTCTCTCTCTCTCTCTCTCTGCTCTCCCTTTCAAATAAATAAATAAAAATCTGAAAGAAAGAAAGAAAGAAAGAAAGAGAGAGAGAAAGTTCCCAAGCTGAAAGAGAAGAGAAAAGTCTGTGGAAATAGAACAGAACATCCAAGAACTGTGGGATTTCAAGACCTCAGCAATCTAAACTTTGGGGGATAAACGTGCTCACGCGTGGTTCCCTGTTCTACCTGGAACGTAAAGGTGGGGAGGCCAGATGGAGCCACCAGACACCGTCCCTGCAAAGAGAATTTCCCTAGACACACAGGTCACTTTTGCCACCACAGCCTCCCCCACTATTTTCCCTACAGACCCACTAGCAAAATGTTCATTTCCAAACCCCATGACCTTGTGTTCTGCTGGTGAAAAGGTCTTAGATCCAGAGGGAGAAATGCTCCCCCCAGGGACACACAGACCTTCCCCTGGACTCAAACTTCAGGTGGCCACTCTGCCACTTTGGGCCCCTCACGCCTCGGAGTCAACAGGCAGCCGGGGGGCTTTGTACTGACTGCAGTGACTGATCCTGATTCCCAGGAAAACTCTGGCCGCTGCCCACAGTGGAAGTACGGAAGAGGAGACCGCGCCCAGCAATTGAAGTCAGAGGAAAACTATGTCCGTGCAGCTCAAGAAGGGCTGCAAATAGCCCAGGCTCTGCACCAGGTCCCAGCCAGAAACCTGGGTGCCACCTGCTCCGAATCCCTAACCCAGATGAGCAGGAGGGACACGTCCCCGCTCCCCACCGCCATGGTGGCTTCTGGCTTCCCCCGCTGCCCACACCCTGAGCCCACCCCTCCCACGTCTCACGTGCTGTTTGGGATTCTGTCGAGACTGTTTAGGCTCCACACAGGGTCAAGAGCTGTGTCGGGGTGACGACCAATAGGGCCCTGAGGCACTGCTTCTGTCTCCCGACAAAACCCAAGACAGGAGCCCTGTCAGGGGATGGAAGCCATGTGCTGGGGGACGTGCAGAACACAACAGGGGTGCTCGGAAATACCAGAACATGTGCATTATTAAATTCTAAAAAATACTTGGAATTTTTCTGCTGGAAAGCGGCACAAACAGGAACCAGGAAGTGACCATGTGTCCAGCATCTCACCTGACCCTGAGCAGGTGTATAAAGGGCTCCTGGCCCAGGAGGCCCCACACCTGAGCACCTGTCCTCCGCACCTGCTCGTCTGACCTGCTCCACCCTCAACCCACCAGAACCATGGGCTGCTGTGGCTGTTCCGGGGGCTGCGGCTCCGGCTATGGGGGCTGCGGCTCCGGCTGTGGGGGCTGCGGCTCCGGCTGTGGGGGCTGCGGCTCCGGCTGTGGGGGCTGCGGCTCCGGCTGTGGGGGCTGTGGCTCCGGCTGCTGTGTCCCCATCTGCTGCTGTAAGCCCGTGTGCTGCTGTGTGCCAGCCTGTTCCTGCTCCAGCTGTGGCTTGTGTGGGGGCTCCAAGGGGGGCTGTGGCTCCTGTGGGGGTTCCAAGGGGGGCTGTGGCTCCTGTGGGGGCTCCAAGGGGGGCTGTGGCTCCTGTGGGGGCTCCAAGGGGGGTTGTGGCTCTTGTGGGGGCTCCAAGGGGGGCTGTGGCTCCTGTGGCTGCTCCCAGTCCAGCTGTTGCAAACCCTGTTGCTGCTCTTCAGGCTGTGGGTCATCCTGCTGCCAATCCTGCTGCTGTGTCCCCTGCTGCTCCCAGTCCAGCTGCTGTAAGCCCTGCTGCTCCCAGTCCAGCTGCTGTGTCCCCATTTGCTGCCAGCGCAAGATCTGATTCTTCAACACACACCCCCGCTGGCTACAGATCCAGTGCCCCGGGCAGAACTCAGGACTCCATCTCAAACCCCTGAGTCACAGCCCTGGCCTGCTGTTTCCTGGAATCAGAAGCAGATGTGTTTGGGGCAAGAATAGCCCACAACACCTGAGAGGGGCCTGTCCCCCTTGCCACCTGTCGTCTCATCCGGGAAGGCTCTCAACAACTCCGTCTCCCCGGTCACCGCAACCTACCAGGATGTTCTGATGACTTCTCCCAGCCCCAGCCCCAGCCCCAGCCCCAGCCCCTGCCCCTGGGCGTCTCTCTGAGGAAAGCTCCTGGTGCTCTCGTCCCCCACATATTGCAGTACAAGAATTCTGAGATTCTTGACCTTGTCAGACCTTTAAATAAACGCATCCATTTCCCACAAGTCCTAACGATAGCATGATTCTTTCCTTCCTGCTTCTGTCAGTCTCCCACTTCCAACCTCTCCCTGGAGTGCCCCCCCTTTGGACTTCCTGGGTCCCAGCAGGGTATCCAGGAACCCCCTCTTCCAGGGAACACGGTGTGCTCAGCATCCCCTGCACGCAACACACAAGCGCCTGGGGCCCAGGAAAGAACATGCCTGACACCTGCTCAGAGCCGACCGGGACTGTGGTGCTAGAGGACAGCAAAGGCCCAGACAGCCACGAGGGCCGCCAGACAACACAGGGAGCTAGGGACCGGCCAAGGCAGGAGTCGGGACAAGCCAACACTCTGGCGTGGTTTGGGGGTAGAATTTTGGGCTGGGGAGTTGAGGGGAAGACAAGGCTGCCCCCCTTGTTTCTGAGACAGAGAACCCAAAGTGACCTTCTCCGTTGGTCTTAGACATAATTTTGCATAAATATCACAGGATAGTATCAGAGTTGATTTAATGGTTTGCAGTTTGTTCAAAAGGGATTTATATTTTCAAATCTTAATAAAACAAAATGGGAAATGCCACGCTATCCATCTATCATGCTTTGAAATTGCTTGTGTCTTGGAGGCAACCAGACCATCTCCAGAAAAGCCATTCTCTAATCAGGGGAAGAGTGAGCTCTCTGCACAGAAACCCATTTCTCCCAAGATCTGAAAGTCTGAAGCCCTCAGACACCAGACGGGTGTGTGGATGTGTGTGTGTGCATGCATGTGTATGTGTGTGTGTGTGACAGTGTGTGCGGATGTGTGCAGGCTTGTGCGTGCATGCAAGGGTGTGTGCACGAGTACGTGCATGTGTGCAACCATGTGCAAGCGTGTGGGTGTGCATGTGTGGCAAGCGTGTGCGTGTCCACATGTGCAAGTGTGTAAGGGTTGCAAGCATGCCCTGTTTTCAAGAGCAGGAGCCAGCACTTTTACCATCAAAGTCTTGAATGAGCCTCTGCCCCAGTATGACCTTTATTTTCAGTGCCACGGTCTCCTGTGGGGAAAGTAAAACCTTCCTGTCCCCTGGGGGACATGGGTCTGGATGAAGAGCAGAGGATGAGGACAGGGAAGGAAACCGACAGTGGTGCTTCTCAGCCCACCTTTGTGGGCACCAGCAGAGAAACATTTCCCTGCTCTGACCCACCCTGGATTCAGACTGGGGCCAGGGTAAGTTCAAGCGACAGGAGCGGCGAGGGTCACCAGAAGCACCATGGGTGAGGGCGGCCACTTCTGACTGTCCTGGGAGAGACCAGGACAAGATAAACCTAAGTCATGACTCTCACGTGGATTGTGAGTGGGAAAGCGAAGCACCTCTCTGTGCTTTCCTCTATTTTCCTGCGACTCTAAAACTGCTCTAAAAAGTCTATTAAAACTAGGGGCACCTGGGGGGCTCAGTCAGTTAAGCCTCTGCTTCCAGCTCAGGTCATGATCTTGGGGTCCTGGGTCCCTGCTCAGCAGGGAGTGTGCTTCTCTCTCTCCTCCCCACTCATACTCTCTCTCACTTGCTTTGCTCGCTCAAATAAATAAATAAATAAATACTCCTTTTAAAAAATATATGGACTGATAAATCCAGGGTGAGGGGATCATTTGCCCCTTGGCTGGGCCTGTGTGGCTGTTAATGCAACATAAAATCACATGTAGCACATGTGGCAGCCGCACCACACAGAGCCCCACCTTGAATGCGCACAGAGCTCAAGCACCCCAGGCATTTTTTCTACTAGCCAGGTCACCCCCTCTGTGATCTTGCGATGGTTTGGGATGAGAGAGCAGGGTTGGTTGCATACAGTCCTGTCACATCTTTTCCTACAATTCTATTTTTAACAAGTGGATTTGCACAGGAACGTTGGAATGCAGTAGTTGGGGGATTTAGAGCAAAGGGTGATCTTTGTTTTCAGAATGATTCTGTGTATGGTTGCTGCGATGTTACAGTGTGAGAATCAAGAGCAGCAACCACAGCGGAAGCAGACCCTGAGATGCAGAGTCAGTGGCATGCCCGCACAGCGCCCCGACCCATGGGCTGTGCTGGCGAAGGCCGTGCTCACATTCGTGAGGGTGCAGAGCGGTGACAGTAATGAGAGAAGCTCCAGGACCATGCAGGTGGAGTGAGCAAGAGTCCTGAGAGGGGCCGTCTGCAAACCAGGAAGGGGCCAGATGCTGCCTGTCGTGTTACCGGGAGTCTGGGAAGCTGGAGTGAGCAAGGGTAACCAGTCAAATAGGGTCAGGCCAAGGGGGGTGCACCTGGCATCACAGTTGTAATACACGGGCTCAAGCACAAGGGTTAGGGTCAGGGTTAGGTTGCCCGCCATCTCCTGGACTGGGTGGCAGAGGACCAAACTGCATAAAGTGCCACAGTCAGAAGGCTGGCTTGCCGGGACTTCCCGGGCACACGGTAGAGCCTGTGTTGGCAAACCTCTTCTATGATGAGCCAGGTGGGACATGCCGCAGGCTTCACAAGTCAGCAGGCCACTGAGGTGAGAACCAGCCGTAGACTATGCAAATGAACAGGCAAGGCTGTTCTCCAGTAAACTTCATGGATGAAAATGGAAGGCTGTACTGCCAGCCCCCGCTGTAAGGGGAGGGGCCCAGGGGTCCAGGGAGAGGAGGACGTTTCGTGGGGTCGATTAGGGATGACTTGTCTGCTCCCCTCCCCCATGAAACACTACCTGGTGAGGTCAGGAGGCCGAGTCCCTGTTGAGGGTTGAAGAAATGCGTTGGTGAGGAGTCTTGGCATCCTTGCAAAGCTCTTTGTGGCTGTCCTCTTCTGGCCAGAGATATTTACCATGGGGGTTGCCACAGGCATCCCAGGCCCCCTCACACCCTCGCAACTCCAGCTGGCCCTTAGCTGTCAGAGGCAAGTGCTCCACTCACCCCAGGAACCTGCAGGCAGGGACCGATGAGACCGAGTGTGCTTTGACCACAGGCATTTATAGCAGGGGTAGCTGATCGGGGCTGGATGGCCCACTGAGCTGCTACTTGATTTTATCAGCAGAAAAACTCTAGGTCCAGTGGCAGAAACACCACCCAAAGCACCATGGTGGAGATTTTCAGCCTCTGGCCACGTTCCTAAACCTGAGTCACATCACAGGTCTGGAGCCCACTGATCAGCAGCAAAGCCAGATCCTCCTGCAGGAGGGCCCTGCAGACAGTAACACGCACGGCTGTTCTCCTCGGCCCCCCTGGAGGGGTCCACAGCCTGGCCCTAGAGAAAGGGCAAGAGGGTCACCAGATACCAGCCTTAAATCAGTGCTGGTCCTCGGGGCCCCAAATACTACAGTGGTGCACTACTCAGAGTAAAGGCCCACGGAAGTCAGCAGGAGCACATGTCGTGGCCTTGGGGGGCCTTAGAGTGGTTCTCGTGGGTCTGTGGACCCATCCTGAGTCTGCGTGCCCACGGGGAATAGATAACAGGAAAACACTACTGACGGAATCTCCGTACTGGTTTCCAGAACAAAAGATAGTGCACACACGCACACACGCACACGCACACACATACACGCACGCACACGCACATGCATGCACACACGTGCGCACACATACACGCACGCACACACACATGCATGCACACGCGCGCACGCACACGTGCACACGCACATGTGCACAAACAAACGCTAAACCAAAGTCAGCATGGCTTTCCCAGGGGAATCCAGAGATCAGTGCCTCCAGTACAGATCTGGAAGATGCAGGACCAATGATCCCAGCCCGCCCTCATGGGCCTCTCCTGTCTGACCTGTACAAAATCCAGATGGGTCTCAGAGAAAGGTCGTGGGTTATTTGAACAAGTGCGTGGTGATGTCACTCACAGCTGCTTTTCTGGGCAGTGACTGACCAGAGATGCAGTATGACCTAGCAGAGGTCTTCTCCTCCAGTCCGCACAGCAGAGATCATCAGGGTAGTAACACACTCCTGCTGTTTCCCTCAATGTGAGACCACGCCTCCACCTGGATGTTCTCCATGACTGCTTCAATGGTCCACATGTCCAGGAACATGACACTGCTCTGCTCCACGATGGAACCGTGTCAGCTGACCCAGCAGAAACACTTCACCCCCAGGAGAAGCCCCTCAGTCCCACAGTGGGACACAGACGTACTCGAGGACAGGTGCAGACCCTGTAACACGGGTGTGGTTCCTATGGTTCCCGCGGTCGGGGAAGCCTCAAAACGTTCCTTCTGAAGTGGGGCAAGGTTGCCGCACCTTCCAAAACACACCATTTGCTGAGCCTTGTAGGATTTTCACATATCCTACATTTGGGCGTGTCAGGTTCAACCATTAAGTAAACCACTTCCAGGTGTTCGCAGGCTCCGCCCGACGGACTTTGCAGGAGAGCCAGGCTGTGACCCAGCTGACCGTTAGAGCCACATGAGCACGTGCACCCACTGGCGCATGAAGTGTCCGTGGTGGGCAAACACTTACCGGAGCCTGGCAGACCCCACGCAGCTGGTCCCCTATGCCAGAAGCAAGCCCGAGTTCTCACCCACACCTCCAGCCACAGACCGAAGCCACAGGGCTCAGCACGAGGGCGGGTGGGGCACTCCACGGTGTGACAGGTCAACCCCCTTGGGAGGAAGCCCCGTGTGGCTTCCATCTCTGTGTCAACCGCAGCCCTGCAAAAGAACCAGGAATGACTGTTCAAAGAGGAAGGCATCCCGCAGAATGGGCCGCCTTGTCTACCTGCCTATGGGGAGGTCCTCTGAGGTGGGTGCCCTCCCCAGGGCACATAGACAGGACATGAGTAACTGCATACTCCATGCCCATTTCTCACCACGGAGCTTCCAGTTGTGCAAACCTTCAGTGGCTTGTGATGGTGCAGCCGTCCACCTCTGGTGCAGAGAGAGGCCAGGCCAGGTCTGGGGGTTCTTCATCCATGGGGGCCATTGGGAAATCTGCTTGAGGCCCCACATGGAGGACAGAAGCTAACCTGGAAGTCCTCCATGTGAGCCGAAGTCCAAAGGGATGGCAGAGGGGACCCAGGAGGCATCTTCAGTGTGGGTCAGAGGGAGCATGAGGGGAGCCACCAGCTGGCGTGCGGGACAGAAAGCACACCTTGGGATTCACGGGCACACGTTATTGAACAAGGACAGCTCACACTCACCGGGACAAGGGCTCGGATAATTCTTATCTGGCTAGTGAAGAAACTGTACTTCAGGAGCTCAACAACGCACAGGACGTGAGATGACAGACCCTGAGATCTGTCTGTTTTTAAAGAATTCCATGGGATCAACCAAGATCTTAGTGGTCTTGGGCCTGGGGTAATGGGTGATTTGTTTCCTTCTCGAATTCTCTACTTGTATTTAACTAAGACTGCATTGTTCTTTCAGATACAATATGTAACACAGTCTTGGTTTCAAGTGTGCAGCACAACGGCCGTGTTTGTACCTGTTGTGATGTGATCGTAGCGTGATCAACACCCATCACCACTCATGGTCACAAAGCTGTTTCTCATGGTGGGAACGTCCAAGAAGTACTCTCAGCGGCGTTCAAATAGGCAGCACAGTCTTGCTGGGGCACCTAGGCGGCTCCATGGGTTGGACATCCCGTTCTTGGTTTGGCTCAGGTTATGATCTCAGGATCGTGGGACTGAACCCCATGTCGGGCTCCATACTCAGCAGGGAGTCTGCTGGAGATTCTCACTCTCCCCTCTGCCCCTTCCCCCACTCTCTCTCTCTCTTTCTCCAAAACAAACCAAAAAACCAAACATGTGACACAGTTGGCTGTTGGCTGTTGACTCTGGCCACCATGCTGTCCGCCACATGCACAGGACTTACCTATTTCACAACTGAAGTTGGTAACTTTTGCCCCTTCACCCATCTTGCCCACTCCCAAGCCCCATCTGGGCAACCACCAGTCTCTTCTCTGTGTCTGTGGACTTGGTCTTGGGGTGTTGTTGTTTTTAGATCCCACATGTAAGTGAGATCACATGGTGTTTTTCTCCCACTATCTCGTTTCACTGAGCATCATGGTCACAGGGTCCATCCCTGATGCTGAAAATGGCAAGATATCCTTCCGTTCATGGCTGAGTAATATTCCATTGTTGGTGTACACCACATCCTCTCTACCCGTTCATCTCCAGCAGACACAGGCTGCTTCCATATCTTGGCTGTTGTCAATAGTGCTACAATGAACATGGGGGTGCAGGGATCTTTTCAAGTTAGTGTTTTGGTTTTATTTGGATAAAGACCCAGAACTAGAAAAACTGGATCATATGGTAATTCTATTCTTCATTTTTTGAGGAACCTCCATACTCTTTTCCACAGAGGCTGCACCAGCTTCCATTGCCACCAACAGGACACGAGGGTTCCCTTTCTCTGCATCCTTACCAACACCTGTTGTTTCTTGTCTTTTTGATTCTAGGTATTCTGATAGGTGTGAGGTGATACCTGACTGTGGTTTTGATTTGTATTTCCCTGATGGTCAGTGATGTTGAGCATCTTTTCATGTGTCTGTTGATATCTGTAGGTCTTCTTTGGAAAACTGAACATTTCTTAATCAGATTGTTCTTTATTGAGTTGTATAAGTTCTTTATATATTTTGGATATTAATCCCTTATCAGATAAGCAATTTGCAAATATTTTCTCCCATTCAGTAGGTTTCATTTTCATTTTGTGGATGGTTTCCTTGGCTGTACAGAAGCTTTTCAGTTTGATGTAATCCCACTTGTTTATTTTTGCTTCTGTTGCCTTTGCAAAGACCTCATTTTTATTTATTTACTTATTTTTTAAATAATGTCTACACCCAACATGGGGTTCCAACTCACGATCCCAAGATCAAGAGTTACTCTACTAACTGAGCCAGGCATGTGTCTCTGCAAAGATCTCATTTCTAAAAATGAAAAATATTAAAATTAAATATGGGCAGTTTGGGTACCAAAAACTACAGCAAAGGTAAGAAAGAGCCTGGGATCCATCAGTTACATGTTGCTACAAGATAACTAGAAACATCATAAATCCTGGAATTGTTCCTTTTTACAGGAAATAAACAAGATGAGGATGAAGACAAATTGAGACACTTAAGAAGGCATCTGTTGGATGAAAGCCAACAGAGGGCCATGGATTCCTGAAGCACAAAAAAAGACATCACTCCAGAAAAATAGCACAAGCAGAAACCAGGAAGTGGCAGTGTGCCCAGCATCTCAGCTTACCCTGAGCAGGAGTATAAAGGGCCCCAGCCCAGAAGGCTCCACACCTGAGCATCTGTCCTCTGCACCTGCTCCTCTAACCTGCTCCACCCTCAACCCACAAGAACCATGAGCTGCTGTGGCTGTTCTGGGGGCTGTGGCTCCTGCTGTGAGGGCTGCAGCTCCAGCTGTGGGGGCTGTGGTTCCAGTTGTGGGGGCTGCGGCTCTGGCTGCTGTGTCCCCGTCTGCTGCTGCAAACCTGTGTGCTGCTGTGTGCCAGCCTGTTCCTGCTCCAGCTGTGGCTCCTGTGGGGGCTCCAAGGGGGGCTGTGGCTCCTGTGGGGGCTCCAAGGGGGGCTGTGGTTCCTGTGGGGGCTCCAAGGGGGGCTGTGGCTCCTGTGGCTGCTCCCAGTCCAGCTGCTGTAAGCCCTGCTGCTCCCAGTCCAGCTGCTGCAATCCTTGCTGCTCCCAGTCCAGCTGCTGTAAGCCCTGCTGCTCCCAGTCCAGCTGCTGCAATCCTTGCTGCTCCCAGTCCAGCTGCTGCAATCCTTGCTGCTCCCAGTCCAGCTGTTGCAAGCCCTGCTGCTCCCAGTCCAGCTGCTGTGTCCCCTGCTGCTCCCAGTCCAGCTGCTGCAAGCCCTGCTGCTCCCAGTCCAGCTGCTGCGTCCCCATTTGCTGCCAGTGCAAGATCTGAGGCTATGTCCATGGACTTCAAGTGGTCCCCCCAGATCTGGGATCTCTAGGAAATGATCAGTGCTCCATACCAAAGCCACTAATTGCAGATCTAAATCCATCTTTTCCAGAATTGGCAGCCCAAATCTCCAGTCCCAGTGGGGTTGCTCCCCAGATTATGAAAGAGAAGTGCATCTAGTCTTACCTTTTGTCCTACTCTAGATCCCCTGCCTCGTTTGCCTTGGAGAAAAGTACTTTCCTCCTCCCTCAACAATTACAGTCCCCTCAAGACCGATCTGCAGAGTCATTACCCCCTGCCCCACACGTGGGACTTGGCTGAGCCTGGAAATACCACCAGGTCAGTGGCTGGAGTCCAGGCTTGGGAGGTACGCACCGCTCTCCCCTCCCCCACACGTCACCAGGCTCAGCTGTGCACCTCCTTCTGACTCCCCTGTGCTTCTTTCACCTAGGAAGGTCCAGAGTGGACCTTGTGACCATGCTAAATAAACACATTTCTAGCTCAAGCACTCTCTGTCTCCACGATGCCTCTTTAATAGATATTCCAATGACAAATTAACAAACACCCGTGCATCACCGATGAGAGTAGAAACAGGTGCAATTATTTTTTCTGAAGACGACTTGGCAATATTTACACCAATTTCACTGTTGTCAGTATTATTTTACTTGCTTTGGGGACATTATTCAATGTAATTATTAAAGAGAATGAAATGCAAAATATAACAATTGAAAAGAAAAAGCAAAATGATCATTATTTACAAATGGTTGCATTGTATAACTGGAAAAAAATAAAAACAAGTCAAATGAATCATACTCAAAATGGAAGTATTCGGATAGAGGGTCAGGCATATAATTAACATTTGAAATTAATATCTCTCTATTCACACATAACAGACAGAAATACGATAAAAGGAAGCCCACCCAGTAAATAGGAGGCTTGTAAGAAACACTTTTAAAAGAAAAGCAGCACTTCTAGTGCTAAAAACTGAAGCTGTCCAGATGGCCACTAATAGCAGGAAAGAATGTTTGTGACATAGTCACTCAGTGAGCTACTTCGTGGCAATGGGAACCCTACGGACACAGTGTTGAGTAAAAGAAGCCATAACGGGGCACCTGGGGGCTCAAATGGTTAAATGTCTGCCTTCGGCTCAGGTCATGATCCCAGGGTCCTGGGGTTGAGCTCGGATGGAGCTCCCTGCTCTGCAGGGAGTCTGCTTCTCCCTCTCCCCACCACTCACACTCACTCTCTCTCTCCCTCATATATAAAACCTTAAAAACAAAAAGAAGCCAGACAAAGGGATATATATTGTATGACTCCTTCTATATGAAGCACACATGAGAAAACAACAACAAAAAACACTAATCTATTTCACTAAAGGTCAGGATAGGGGTCCCTTTATTGGGAAAGTGGCTGGGAGGGGGACACAAAGATAGTTTCTATGGTCTGGTGATGATCTATTTCTAAATCTGAGTACTGGTTACAGGTGTATCCCATTGGTGGAAATTCAACATGCTGCCTTACATTCATTTTTCTCCGTGAATTTGTATTTCAGTAAAATTTTTCGTGGAAGTCTTTAAAAATCTATGTGAAGAAAGCTGGAAATACTGAGACAAACAAAAGAATAGATAATTCTTATTTTAATAGGAAGTTTTAATATTTTAATCAAGTCAATTCTCCCTAAATTAATCTAGACATTTGATCTGAATAAATATACCAAGAAGGTATTTTAAGTAGCTTTGCTGGTTGTAACATTTATACTGAAAACAATAGCCATGAAAATGCTAAAAAGGAAGTGGGCCAGATATCAAAACTTACTACAAAGTATGATAATTCAAACAACCTAACATAAACACATGAAAATCCAGTAGATAAATATAAAAGAAAAGAGATACCAGAAACAGAACCAAACATGCATGAAATACCTACATGAAAAAGATAGCATTTTAAATTCATAAGAAAAAATATCGTTCCATATATGGTGTTAAAACAATTATGTAGGATCTAGGAAAATTAAAATTGGGTGCTTACCTCACCTCTTAATCCAAAAATAAATTCCATACAGAGTATGGGATAAAGACATAAACAGAAATAAAAATAAAAATAATTAAAAGTAAATAGGAATTTTAAAGTAACATTGTAATAGAATAGTTCTCTCTAAGCATGACACAAAATTCAGCTGTCCACTAAAGAAATGAGTGATAAAATTTGGTATAAAAGAAAAATAAACGGGAAAAATAAAAGAAAATACCTGCATGGCAAAAGGAAAAATTTCTAACAATGTCAACAGATAATTAACAAAGAACAATCTGATGTCTGAGGTGCTGGCATCTGTCTTGTCTGACACACAGAACTGACTAGAATGGTGACTTTGTTTAGAAGCCACTCAAAAAAAAAAAAAAAAGCCACTGCAAGCATACACGATCACATGACACATTAGAACCACAGTTCCAGAGCAGATGCCAAGGGGTTTCAAAGATTACAGACTTCTGAGAAACAGGGACAAAATGTTTAGAGATTTTGGGATGGCTGAGAGCACACATACACAAACCCCAAGAAGACACATATCCTCAGAAAAGGTTTGAGAGATTCCAGAACCTCTAGCTAGGCTAATCAGTGAATGTCACCCACTGTACAAAGCCAGTCAGTAAGACTGGGAGGGGTCTTTGGTTTTTTAAATAACCAAGTCTCAATGACAACAATAAAAATGCAAATCATACAAAGAAACAGGGAAACATGGGCCAACCAAATGAATAAAATAAAACCCTAGAAACCAACCAACCCTAAAGAAATAGAGATCTATGAGCTGTCTGACAAAGAGTTTAAAATAAATTTCATAAAGAGGCTCAATGAGCTAAAAGAGAGCACAGAATGACAACTGAATGAAATCAGGAAAATAACGCATGCACAAAATGAGAATATCAACAAAGAGAAAAAATATTTTTCAAAAAAAAAAACAAATACTAGAGCTGAAAAATACAATAATGGAACTGAAAAAATTTACTAGAGGGATTAAATTGAAAACTTGTGAGTTTGAAGACAGGTTGTTGAAATCAAATCAGAAAAGCATGAAGAAAAAAGAATGAAGAAAAGTGAAGAGAGCCTAAGGGATGTGTGGGTCATCAAAAAGGAGATTGATATATGCATTGTGGGAGTTCCAACAGAAGCAGCAGAAGAGAAAGAGGCAGAGAGTTTATTTGAAGAAATAATGGACAAAAAATTCTAATCTGAGGAAATAAATAGACGTATAAATTCAAGAAGCTCAAAGAACTCCAGTCATATTAAATCCAAAAAGATCTACATTGAGATACATTACAAACTGTCATTTGCAATTTTTCCCTTAGAACATATTTCCTGAAGGTTATTTGCTAGGCAAATGGGTATATACATTAAGTGCAGATAAATATATATTTTGAATTACTGATTTGTTTTTGATAAGTAGTAACCCCACATAGTAAATATAACACAGCCTATTGCTGCTGTGCAAATTATCACAAATTTAAAGTCTTAAAACAACACCAATTTATTATCTTACAGTTCTGGGGATAGGAAGACTCACCAGGTCTAAATAAAGGAGTCAGCAAGTCTGCATCTCTCCTGGAGGCTCAAGGGAAGAATCCATTTCCTTGCCTTTTCTAGTTCCTAGGAATTGCCTGTGTTCCTTGGCTCATCCCCAACCCCCTTCCGTCTTCAAAGCACATCACTCCAGTCTCCAGTTTTGTGGTTATTTGGCTCTCAAAGGACCTTCATATAAAGATTCCCTCTCACAAAGACCTTGGTGATTCCACTGGGTACGCCAGGATTATCCAGCATAATCTCCCATCTCAAGGCTGTTAATCACATCTGCACAGTCTCCTTTACCATGTGAGGTAACATATTCATAAGTCCCAGGGATTAGGACATCTTTGGGGGACTGGAATCCAAACCACCCAGGATATAGGATTTGCCCTGGGAATGGATTAGGAGTGAAGGGAAAGGAACAGAAGAATAAGCACTGCTAAGGATGAGTTTATAATATATAAAAATTAAAAAATAAACTTTCATGAGCTAGAGTCAGTATTTACAATAAACAGAAGGATCAGGAACCTAAACTTATAAATTAAAAGAAAAACAATATGAAAAAATGCTATAAACACATATATCTAAAACTATTAAAAATGTAAATAACTGCATTTGTATAGAAAGAATAAACTTTAAAAAATAGATTTATAAGAGTGTTCATAGAGAATTACCAATATGAAATACAATGTCACTAAAATTAAAAATCCAAAATTTCAGTTAAACAGAAAAGTACATACAGATACAGGAGGGTAATAGCAAAGGAAATTAATTGGAATGCAGTATGGAAAAATATTTAAATATGAAAATATGAAATATTTAAATATGAAAATATGAAAAGACCCTTAAGGCTAGAACAAAAATGTTCAATATATAGCTTACGTGAATTTTGGAAGAAGAGTACAGAAACAGTAGATAAAATTCAGTATTTGGACACAATAATCATCCAAAATTAATAAAAGGATGAATTTCATATTGGATAATCACAAATCTAAAGCATGACAAATAAAAATATAAGTAAATCCAAACCTAGTCCCATCATAGCAAAACCTCAGAATACAATGGTAAGTAAAAAAATATTAAAAGGTATCAGAGAAAAAAATTAACTAATAATTCAACTGACAACAAACTTCTCAATGAAAGGGCAAGGAAGTAAAAAAAAGTGGGGAGGGTTCAAATACTAAGCAGAAATTTTTCAACCTGGAATTCTATATCCAGCTGAATTATCAGCCAATAATTAAGTATAAAATAAAGATACTTCCAGAAAAATTCAGACTGATGGAACTTACCCACCATCAGACCTTTGCAGTAGTAACTTATTAAGAATATAATTCAGGAAGAAGGAAATTAAACCGAGAGGCAAGGAACAGGTTACTAAAGGAAACCATCATGTGAGTAGAAATAAATCATGTTGGCTAACAAAAACAAA